AGACATATACTGTCTATAAGAAACTCACTTTAAATGTAATGATATAGGCAGGTTAAAGGGATAGGAAAGGATATACTATGCAATAATAAAATATTGGGATTGGCCATATTACTATTATACAGAGCAAATTTCAGAGCAAGGAAAATTACCAGAGATATTACACAATGATAAAGGACCAAGAATACTCATCAATTCTAAATATCTATGTACCCAGCAACAGAGCTTTAAAATACATTATGCAAAAACTGGTAGAACTGAAAGAAGAAATGGAAAATCCACTTCTAGATAAAAATGTCAACATTCCATTTAGTAAGTGATAAAACAAGTACAGTAGTTCCCCCTGATTTGCAGAGGATATGTTCCAAGACCCCCCAGTCAATATCTGAAACCACAGATAGTACCAAACCCTATACATACATACCAGTGATAAAGTTTAATTTAGAAATTAGGCACAGAAAGAGATTAACAACAATGATAATAAAATAGGACAATTATAACAATATACTATAATAAAAGTTATGTGAATGTGCTTTCTGTCTCTCTCAAAATATCTTACTGTACTATACTTACCTTTTTACTTAAAGGAAGTACTTTTTGGCTTCTCTTTGGCATATCCGAGTTGCCAGCATCAATAATCTTGTGCTTTGGGGCCATTATTAAGTAAGGTAAGGATTACTTAAACACAAGCACTTTGATTCTACTGCAGGTGATCTGAAAATCCAGCTGGCTACTAAGTGAATAATGGGCGGGAAGTGTATAAAGCATAGAAACACTAGACAAAAGGATGATTTTGTCTAGTGTTTCCCCCAAGTGGTAGAGAGTGGAATGGCACAAGATTTCATCATGCTACTGAGAATGGTGTGCAGTTTAAAACTTATGAATTGTTTATTTCTGGAATTTTCCATTTAATATTTTTGGACTGAGGTTCACTGCAAGTAACTAAAACTGTGGAAAGCAAAACCATTTATGGGACTACTGTATGCTAAGATGATAAAAGAATGAGATAATCTAAGAGATTTAAAAAAATAAAATCACACTAAAATGGCAGAGATAGGTAGATACTCAAATTAAATCTTGACAACATTCTGTAAGAATAGAATAAAAAGTGTCTTCTGGGCTGAGGAAGTTTCACAGCTTAAGTGCCTTGCTGCAAATTGTTGAGGGATAAAGGGCAATATCTATTTAATGGTGCCATTTCTCTCAAGCTTCTCACATTTGAAAAATCATCAGTTCTCATATTTTAAAGGAAATTTGAAAGAATTTTTTCTTTGTGCTGTTATATTTTTGTAAGTCCTTAATTATTTCATAAAACTATATGAAATGTCTTGTGAATCATTTTCATAATCAGGGAATGTGGTTGTAAAAGCAGAAAGCCATTCAAAAAAGTTCAAGTAAAAAGATGGGGAGAGTTGATATAAAAGTGCATCACATTTCATTTAATTGTTGACAGCTTCGAGGACATAACTCACTGGAACTGCCTGGCTTGTTGACATTTCTCTGCATGTTTTCTAATTCATATAAAGTGACTATTCTGCCCACATATTCACTTGCATATGGTCATCATGACCATCTCAAAAGGATAGCCTAAGACCTAGAGTCTGTATGACTTTTGGCTCTTCTTCCCACAATTAAGTGTTCATGTTCTAATTCCAGATCCCCAGGAGAGAGTAATAAATTGCTTCAATCAGTTGCATTCTGGAGGTAGGGTTGGGAGTGAAGGGATAGGATCAGATGGCACAAGGCATCTTTCCCTTCCAGGGTTATGAGCGGGGCAGGTTTTCAAAGAAATTATTGGTGTGTCTTGTATACATCATGAATAATTTTATTTTTATACAGAAAGTGATAATTGCAGAGTAAAGCAAGGGATCTTTTTAGCTTGACGGTGTCTTTCACTCGTGAATTATGTGAGCACATCTCTCTTGATAATGGAAACTTCATTAAGTGATCACAAATGAGAACACGTTGACTTCTAGCTAGACCCTCCCAAATGAATCTCTGTATTTAAGATTTATTTTTTATTAAATGTCATCAAATGAAGACCTCATAAAAATTAAATATGACATTTGACATTTATAAATTAAAAAGTTCATAATGTTACACAGACATTTTTAGACATTTTTGACATTAAAAGAAGTCCATTCATGTTATATAGACATTAAAAGCTAATATTATTTTAGGAAAATAATTCTTGTCCTGTGTAAATTTCTAGCATTGCTTCTAGTATAGTTTTAAAATTTGAAATCCTCTTAGCATACAGAATAGATTATGATATACTGAAGGATTAAGCTTCACTGTCTTTGTCAGATTAATCCCGCATATATAGATCATCACTTGAACTGACAGAAATATGGCTGCAGTTCAGCACAAAAAGTTCAATGGATAAGTTATTTTATATAGGATGAATACTGTACTTCTTGACTGGTTGATATATATTCTCCATATTAAATTTAAATCTCACATATTTCTTTCAGACTTTCATAGAGATTCATGGAGAAGGTGTCTCTGATAGTTTATGTGGTGAAACAATGCCATTAAATATTGTTGGGATCCTTCCCACTTTATTGGAGTAACTCACCTGGTAAGGATATTTTTTAAATTTTTATATAAAAGTTTTTACATCATTTTAAACTTTAATTTCCTATTTTAAATCTTAATTTCCTCATCATGCAAGTACAGATAAACTTTACATTTAAACAAAACAGGTAATCCTATGAGAACATTGCTCTACTTGCTTATGAATGCATTTTTTTAATGAAATAGGTAAAAATCGTATATGTATAGGTGAATTTTGAAATAGAGCATGAAAAATGAAGATAGCTATTATAGCATTCGGATTATGGTTTGAAACTAATGTATAGTTAAGAAATATTTAAAGGAAATTTAAAACATAATTTTTTTCTAATAGGAAGTTTTATGAAAACAATTTCAAACTATTATGTAGTTGAGTGATAGAACAGAAATATTGACTTTAAATAAAATTGTTTTAATAAAGTTAAATAAAGTTTTTATAAGCTTATTTAAGTCATGAAAAATACTTGGTAGTTTATGTTAGAATAATAATGAGAGAATAAAAGAATACTGCTTTCTTTGAAAAGTTGAGGATGGAAGTAGAAATTAATAACTGGATTTTTAAAGAATTTTATGTTAAACTCCATAACTTTTTTTTCTTAAACAATTTTAAAGAAGTTAATATTAAGCAGTAAAAGTGCAATTACATGAAAAGCTCTATATTTTACATGTTTAAATTATTTTTCATTGTCTTTACTTGTAAGGTGTTGAAAGTAGGACCCACTCCTGAATCTTCTTTCTGATAGTGGAATAAGGTACATATTATTCTGGATTGCCGCTCATGTTGAATTTATGGTTTGTCCAGATGAACTTATTAGGAGTATGTGGTTTTGTCATTGGAGAATCAGCCATGTAGTGAAGCCATCAATGCCATTCAGGGGGCACCATGCTTTCATCCACATCCCAGAATGTGTTTTAGCCATTCATTTCAGTGGTATAAATAACCCATCGGCAGCGGCCAAAAAACTACTTGTTGTCTTCATAGTATTTGTTTCCATATTTGTCTTTCCCCACTAATGTACTAAGCCTCACATCATATGCTCTGAATAAAATTTGTAGATAGCCTTGGAGGCTGCCACGGCTGCTGCAGGCCACGCTTCAGGATTGCAGGAACTCCATCTTGTCCCTCAGGTCCAGCCTCCCTAGCTCCATGACTTTTTTAAAAAGTGAATTGGTAGTTATTTAACTGGGATTATAGTTCTCGATTATTAATTACTATTATATAATCCTCCCTTATTCATGAGGGATATGTTCCAAGATCCCCAGAGGATGCCTGAAACCATGGCTAGTACCAAATCCTAATCAACTTTAACTCTGCTGAAGTATGGCAGCTGCTGCTTTATCAGCAGATGCAGCCTCTCCAGTAATTTTTATATTTTTTAGTCCAAACCTATTCCTGAATCTGTATGACCATCCCTTATTTGCAATAAATGGCTTGGTAGTGTTGTAGGGGATCCCTTGCTTGAAGTCTTTGTATAGGTTCAGTGCTTTCTGGCATAACATGTTACCATCAGTTGGAACACATTTTCTGTTTATGTCTTTCGTCCACAAATTTAATGCCTTTTCCATCTTAACTAAATACTTATTGCACACTAACTTTTACAATTTGAGGTACGACAGTAAAACTAGCATCAATTTCTTCTTCACAGTTTCATGGATAGAAGATTTATTCTTGATCTTAGCAACTTCAGCATATGATTTTTTTTTCTTTCCTTGTCAAGAACTCATCTTTTCACTTAAATAAAGCACTTTGCACTTCTCTGGCTTCTCTTTGGCGTATCTGAATTGCCAGCATCACTACTCTGGAGCTTTGGGGCCATTATTAAGTAAAATAAGGGTTACTTGAACACAAGCTCTCTGATGCTGCGATAATCTGGTAACCAAGATGGCTACTAAGTGAGTAATGGGTGGAAAGTATACATAGGTTGTTCAACGTTGTTTTGTTATAATATTGATAGGATGTCATAGGAACTCTTATCAGTCAGCCTATGGTAAAACTGGTTTTGTTATATACCATTTTGCTTAAAGTTGTAGAACCTATCGATAATGTTAATTAAGTGAGAGGACTTATGGTACAGTGACATTGGACAAAGGGATAATTCCAGGCAAGACAGAGCAGGACAGCTCGAGTATAACATCAGTTTTGGTTATTTGACTTTTTAATGAACCAAAACCATTTAGATATAGGTATTCCAAACAGTTTATTCTAGTAATCAGGTACAGTGTCATAGCTAATGTGATATATCATGGAATTATTTGGGGGACCTCAGAATTTTGGAGAATAGTTGAAAAGGCTTATGGACCTATTGCTGAAGGAAAAACTGTGAACCTGTCAGTGCTAGCTTAGATGCTACCTGTTTTTATCTATGCCTCTGTTCTCACTTTGGGGCTGTGGGAGCTCATTCATAATCCTTCCAGTCTGTAGCACTTTATCAATTTATTGGAACATTTAATTAATAAACACCTCTAGGTTCACAACATTTGGAAAACAGCATTTATAAATCATGAACATTGTCAAAGAGCGCATGGATGATATATTTTTATTATTATCAAAACTTGGTTTTCTATATATTTGAGTTAGTTTTTCCTGAGGGATGCGAAGTGGGGAAAATGGGCAATTTACCTAAGAACTAAGTTTTATTTATTTGTCCCCTAGGCTTATCATCATCATTATATAGAACAAAATAGTTTTATTTCTATTCATATTTTATCTTAATATTTAAGTTTTACTTTTTAGCATAGATAAAAGGACTTAGAAATAGTACTGAACTTTTCTATTAGTTTCTTACCTAGTTGTAGAAGACAGTGGTCAAATAAAAAAAAGGGTATGGTAGATTAGGAAATGTGGTTTGTGTTTTTGAACAATGACTCCTAGAAAATCTGGAGAAAATATTGCCATCTTGACAAAAACCAGCTCTTTCCAATACATTTTTTTCTTTACAAATTAGTTAACTCGATTAATATAATAAATAAGGATGAGAATTGTAAAATTAAAATTTGCTGGTAACTCTGCATCTCTTTTTAATATGGCTCATATATTATGCATTATTAAAACTTTGCCACAGCAGTAGCAAATTGAAAAATTGAATTTTACCTCCTTTCTTTGACATACATCTCGTAGAGGTACAGATGAATAGGAAGTAGGGAGAATAACCTGCAATGTAAAAGCCTTCAATCTAATTAACTTTTAACTATAAGATTTAAATATATAATTTACCTCATGTACAATACTTGAAAAAGATGTTTATTATTGTAGGCATTTATGTTCGTAAAATATATACTATCTACTAATGAATGGGTATCAAGAACTTTGAAGGATCTAGGATTTTTACCCTAGTTGCAAGCTAACAGGTTATCAAACTAGAGTTTCATGCTGATATAAGACATGAGACTCCTGGGTTAGAAATAAAGGACAGTTTATTACTCACAGTAATAGTACCTAGAGTATCAACTGTTTTTGTTGCAGGGGAGGAGCATCGATTCCTTGAGCCCCATTCCCACCAAGTGATGTAAAGAGGGCTAGATGATATCTTCACAGTCAGTGGGCTGAGGAAAGGATAGGAACTCTGAGCTTAGGGAACTTGGATCTTTTATAATGGGCAGTAAGCATGTCTCTCTTTTGCTCCAGAGGGAGATAGTATCTTGTTCCAAGGGGGAGTCATTGCCTTACAGCAGTAATTCAGGAGATCCTTGGAAAATTGTCTCCCAATAATGGGCTGAAATTTTTGCTTAATAATTTATTCATAATGCAAATTAATAATGTAAACAAGATCACAAGAGGAAATGTTTAAAATACTGGGAATAAGCATGCTTATTCTACTTTTAAAGCAATTTAAAAACCTTCCAAAATTTTATATTATTGCATTACATAAATTAAGAACTTTTACTTAGGATTATTTTGCTATTATGCTGCATGTTTTTGAAACTAATAAAACTTAGTTTATTTAAGTCCTTTGAAAACATTTTGAATTTAAAACTCAACTAATTCATAACTAATTCATTTCCTTTTTAAAATTCATACAGGGAGATTTTAGTATCAGGCCATGAAAGAGTTTAGATGTGAAAAATGCAGGTTTCTTTTTTTAAATAAAACATAAGTTTCTTATTATTTATACCAAACCAAAGTGAACCATTCTGAGAGAACCGCTATCTCCAATTTCCTGAAAGTAAACAAATAAAAATAATTAAAATCTTGTTTAAGCGGAGAGTAAAAATATTTGACTTAATTTTATATTTTTAATATTTTTAATTTAAATAAAGAGTAAAGCAAAATAAAATAGTTTAAAATGCATTGTATATATGTAAACAAGAGAACTGTATCTTACACGTAAAATTTTGATATGGTATTTACCGGTATTCTCAGTGAAGAAAAATAATATATGAAGCATAAAAAGGCAAAGAAGTAATACAAGATATTAGTTGAAATTTGGAAGCATCTGAAGGCTCCTAACATGAAAAGTTGCAAACTGGGTCATAATTTGTGATTCCACCTATTTGATTTTATAATACTATCTGTTCTAAAGGTCCTATATAGCATATATTTCTTAATTTTGGTGTTTTACTGAGTATTTGATAGTGGCTCTTGAGGTAATGTTTATAGAAAAGATCATGGTTTTATAAGCTCTGGATAAAAATTTATGAAGCTGCAAAGAGATATTAACAAGAACTTCCATTTCCCATTTCTTATTTTTTATTTCTTTCACACCTCCCCACTCCCAACAAGGATTTTATGATAGGATTCAGAAATTGGAGAATGTTTCAATGTAAGACTAAAGGTGAATGATATTATTTGAAAGATTATACAGAGGGGACATTTTTGAAGGTTTGGAGATAACCTACTTAGAGATGAAATACTAAAGGGAAAAGGTAAAGAGACTGGGGATGATGGTTAGTACTTAAACTGACATGTCATAATTGGAGACTTTTCTCTTAAAAACATTGTTTTAAAGTTACTACTTAAGTTTTATCTTTAGTTTTTTTTACTAAGAGAAGTCTTTCAGAAAGACATTGCATTATAGTATTTTAAGTATTTTAAGTAGACATATCTCAAAGAAAACAGGTGTGGCACTGGCAAGTAAGGGAAACACACACACACACACGCGCACGGAAAAACTAGGAAAAAAGAATGAGTAATTTAATAGTGCCTGGGGCTTGTGTGTGTGTGCTGGTAAGTTCAGGGGTTTTAGCTTTTAGTTTTCAATTTAAAAACAAAACATGATTTATATAAGCACTGGTATTTATTTTTAAAAACCATAAGCTCCGTATCTTGGTTTATAAGCTACTATACCAAAATTTATTTTTGAAACCACTAGAATGGTCGTCAAGAAATGTGAATTTAGTTTTTGGTCTCACTCACCGACTGGCAGAGAGCCTAGGTAAATTATTTTATTTTCCTAATATCTGGATATATTTATTGCTGGAAGGCTAGATTGTGCACACTCAGGAAATATCATCTGTTTCAGTCATATTCTTGATGTTCTGCAGTGTCTTCTATCTAGGACTTAATACCTCTCTCTTACATTAGTAATTACATTTTAAAAAGTAGGAATCATAGAATTAATTTCTCAAAGATCTACCAGGACTTCAAAACAATCTTTTGCTTTGAAAATTTCTTTAAAATCCATCGTATTTTTTAAAAAAGACTTTCTTCAGTGCATTTCCAAGGTTTCCATGATAGTCTGATAGGCTTGCACTCTGCCTTAGAAGAATATTTTGGTGACTAATGAAATAATATATTTGTATACTCATTTAATCATTATTAAAAATAAAGTATATTCATTAAATAAAATTGGGAAAACAGAAAAGTACAAAAATTTAACCATAGACCTACCAGTCACATAAAAACTAGTTTAACATGTATTTGCTTCCAGTTTCTTTTTTTTTATTTTATATTTACTTTTTAAATATATTTTATTTACTTTTTAAAACAGCTGAAATCATATTGTATATACGAGTCTCTTTATTTTTGGTTTTTGGGTTTTTTTGCCTTCACTTTAAGTACTTTTCGATGCTCCCACAGTTTTTGTTTTTAATGGCTAAATTCGATTCCTTTAAATACTATAGTGCCCTTAATTATTCCTTTTTTTGGTTGAATTTATATTGTTCTCAGTTTTTTCTTTTTTATAAATAACCTTATGACAGACATTCTTAGGCATGAAGTTTTTATGTTTTTAGGATTATTTCCTTGGTAGCAATGGAATTATTGGACCAAAGCTTATGAAATTTTAGTCCTTTGGATAAACAGTATAGAATTGGTAGTTTTGCTTTGTTTCTTACCTAGTTTGGGAAGAGGTGATTTTGTTTGGTAATAGGAAGTCGTGGTTTCAAAGGAGGCTGATCTTCATTTTTTTAAGTGCTGAAGTTGTGCTCATCCTTGACTGAATGGCTACATGTTAATTCCCCAGTCCGTCATTTGAGTTCTACATATAGTTAAGTGTATTTTCTGAGCCACACCCTATTGTTGTTACCTAATGTTGGGTAACCAGGTCACTTTTTTTTTAAAACATACACAGACTTTCGTAAGCAAATTCTGCAGACAAGTTAAGGTTTGCTTTGCTACAAACTGAATTTTGATCTGTTGCTAACTTAGTACAGATATCTTTTTTTTTTTTAAATAAAATATACTAAATGATCATGTTGTTATTTTATGTCAGGTTTCCTCTGTGTTACTAATGGTCTCTCATAAAGTCTCTGATTTGGTTCAACAATAATTAAATCCCAGAAGCATACTATTTTAGGGATAGAAGAATCCTTAAAGTTTTCTAAATTCCTTTCATATTGCTGATGAAGAAACTAAGGTGAATATGGGTTAAGTGTTTTGTCCAGTCACTCATTTAGTGGCAGCACTGGGATTAGAATTTAATTCTTATTTCCCTGTGAAGTACCTTTTCCACTACAGCTTTATGTTCTAAAAGATAACATGTGTTCTACAGGCCGCTTTATGGGTTAACTCCTGTGATTGCCTGTTCCTGTCATTTAAGGCTCTTGTTTATAGGCATGCCAGTAGCCCACCCCTGTGTGATAGGAAATGCTTTCCTGAGCAAGTTGCCCAATTATATGTCTCACCATTGAATATTCATCCTACTTCTTGCATATTTGGTATCATAAGGATTTCTTTTAAATCAGTATTCCAGGATTTTGGTAAAGCTTGATGTTCTTTCTAGAAACTGAAATGTCAAATTGCCTGAAATCTAGCATTTGCCAAAGGTTGGCTTAAGGTTTCTGGTACTTAATAAGAGACAGGTTGATAGTTTAGCTAACTATCTAACTTTCCAACTTCCTCTGTGTTAAGTAAACCATCAGAAAGGAATGTACTTAGAACATGTCATTTCATCTTACCATAGAAATGCCTTTACTGAATTATGATTTAATAATCTTTTTTGAAAGATTTATAATAAAAACATCTTTGTGAATACAATTTCTGTCTTTTTTTCAAAATCCTATTTTGAAGACATGTCTAGTTTTTCAGTTTTCTAACACAAGCATGCTTGAATGGGAATGCAGTGCTAGAAATGTTTCTATCCAGATGAATTTACTATTGGCATATTTAAAAAAATTAATAAGAATAATAAGGAACAGTGTTTTGAGGTTTACAAAATGGTTTCACATTATATAATTTGACACAACAATTTAGTGGTTATTAAATATAATTATTCCCATTTTACACATAAGGAAATAGGATGAAGAGGTATGTGGCAAGTGAAGAAGCAGTGGCAGAAAACTGGAACTGAGATTCTATGAGAATCCTGCATTCGTTCCATGATACCATTATGCCTCCCAAAATAAACCTATTTCTCTTTTTTGCCTTAGCCTCCCCAAATTCAGAGCTAAGCTCAGTTTTGTATAAAATAGCCCAGATATTCAACAACATCTCTTACTTTGCAACTTTTAATTGATTTTTGCTTTGAGTAATTTTATTTTTGATATTACATATAAAATAATCTTGTGAACTGCCCCAAATCTTTCAGAAAGTAGATAGATCATAAATACTAATATAAAATGGTTCATAGCTATGAAGAATGGTCACTATGTTGACACCTTTATTGTTACCTAATGGTTTATCTAACTCTCATCTTTGGCGAATATGATGGTATATTTAAAAATATATATCTTTAAAATCATCCTTTGGAGGAAAGAAATAAGTATGAGAATAGCTTATCACTTATCTATGTCAGTAAATAAGATGTAAATTAATAAACTTTATGGTAGAATCATTACGTAGATTAATAAACTTTATGATAGAATGATCAATGGATAAAAAATTGTTACTTTTTTAATCACTCTTGGAAAGTACATAGTTATACTTCAGTTATATAAGGTGTTCTTTATTGATGTGGATAATTGTTAATATGTAAATACTGGGGATACATATATGCATATATATGTATATACACACATACACTTTCTAGTCTGTAGTACTCTCTCCTAGATGATGGTAAGGACAGAAAGAACAATATAAACAGAACATTGCTAGATTTATCATAATTACACATTAAAAGAATGAGTTTCTTACTATTTCTAAGTCTAAGATTTCTTTCAGACAGCATGCCAACGAGTAGTATAGGCAAGACAGTATTGATATATAACTACATGACTTATTATGTACTTGTCTATGGCCCAAGTCAGTGGTAGGGTACAAGAGGTATGCTCCTTACCTCATTCCAACATGCAATCCCAAGTTAGCCTCTTTAAAATTTGTCTAATGAAGTTTAATACAGAACTCAAATTCTTTCCCTCAGCTTTTGTCATTAGCACAAACCTCTCTTAAAATCTTCCCTAGAGCTAGCTAGACTTCTAGTGGTTTCATTTCTTTTAATTATTTTAAAAATCATGAAATATACATAACATAAACATTACCATTTTAACCATTCCTGATTTCCCCCTCCCACAAGGAGACATTTGGCAGTGTCTGGAGACATTATTTGATTGTCATGACTGAGGTGGGGGAGCTGCTGGCATCTAGTAGGTAGAGGCCAGGGATGCTGCCAAACATCCTACAATGCATAAGACAGCCCCTCCCACCCCAAAACAGAGAATTACTTGGCCCAAAACGTCAATAGTTTTGAGGTTGAGAAACCTCTAGGTTGAGAAACTGTGGTCTAGAGCCAGACTGTTTGGGTTTGAATTCCAGCTGTGCACCTTACAAGTACGTAAGTCACAGCTCATAAGGTGCACAGCTGGAATTCAAACCCAAACAGTCTGGCTCTAGACCAAAGTTATGACTGTGGGGAAGGTACTTAATCTCGGTGTCTATTGTCTATTAAAGAGGCTAACAGTAGTATCGACATGGGATTGTGAGAATTAACTGAATTAAAACATTTAAAGTACTGAAATCAGTGTCAGCCATATAATAAGCACTTGATAAATATTAGCATTATTTTATTAAAAAGTTATTGAATAGATTCAATTAAAGTTGATAAATAGCTGATAGAGGAATATGTTGAAAAATAGTTACTATATCAAGAGTAAATTATCCAAAGACACACACAGAACCCTACTTTAAAGTATAGCATATGAAAATTTTGAATGAGAAAAACCTTTGCAAGCAATAATGACAGGTTGTTACAATCTGTATTTTATCTATACTTAATAACAATTTCTAAACAAACCAGATGGCTAGACATAAAGTATATATGAATTAGTGCTAATATGAATTTAAGCTATATTTATATCTGAACTCAAAGACTTGTAGCCAATTAAGTTATGATAACCATTCTATAATCAATGTTTCTCTTATTCTGAAAGATCCTTGGGAAGTCAATTTCATTTTTTTTAGGAGGGGGAGAGTCAGTTTCTTGATTGGATCTGTAAAGTTTTGACAGGATGCAATTTTTTTCCTTTAACAAGTTTTCTAAAAATAAGCTATTTAAAAATATATGTGATTTATGGCTAAGTTTCTTTAAACTCTAACAAATGCAGATGATTATGCATGGACATTCAGTGGCAGTATGGAGTATTTCCCTCCAAACAAATTAAGAATTAAAAAAGTTTTATATATAGATACGTCCATAAAGAAGTATATTAAAACAATGATGTTGATAATTACTAGTATTAGTATAGTTCCATGTAATTAACAAAGTCCTACCACATACATGGTCACAATAGAGCTTCATAAAAATCTTATAGAGTATGTGGAATTATCTCTTGCAGATGAAGAAGTTGAGGGTTACAGAAATGAAATGATTTTTCCAAAGTTATAATGCTGGAAATTGTGGAACTATCATTTGAACTCAAGTCTCATAATGAATCAGTTACTACAATCTACTGTGAGCTTTTAAAAAAACGAAGAGGCTTTCTCTGACTTAAGCCTAACCTTTCTGAAATTGGTATAATAGGGCATTGATATTTCCTCTAAAAATGAACTTAGATGTATTGTCAGCAGAATATGGAGAGAGACCCTACAAGCATTACTTATAAAAATTACATATAAATGTAATAATGAACTGGATAACTTTGTCATTACTGTAAACCTTTTATTTTTAAACTTTTAGTTTTGGATAATTTTAAACATATATCAAAGTATGATGGTATATGTAAACTGCTATATTACCTATTACTCATTTTATCAATTATCAACTCATGGTGACTTTAATTCATCTATATCCCTCCTCCATTCTCCCTACTGGATTATTTTGTGGCAAATTCTAGATATATAATTTCGCTTGTACATAATCCATATGCACAATTTTATTTTTCAAAAATAACTTTTAATAATAATTACAACTTTGAAATACTGAAAACCTGAACAGTTTTCTAGAAAGATGTTTCTACTTAATGTATACCAGTAGGCAACTTTTCCTGAGTTCAAAATAATCACATATAGTATGCTTTTCTTTGGGAATTTAAATGTCTAATAAACAGTAAGAGAAAGTATTTTACCTGTCCTATGCAGTCTTCTTTCATTTCTCCTTCTAAAATAAAAGATCACAACATTACTTATTTTAAAATATAATAAAGGACCTTAAAATTGTTAACAACCTTTTAACATCCTTACTTAAAAAATACTTAAAATAATCATGACTAAAACAAATTAAAATACTGAAAACTCTAGAGAAAGCAGTAACCAAATTTCAAAATAATATGAAATTATTCTTATATATACATGTTATAGCTATATCTGCACTGAAATCAAGTGAACAGATTATGCTTATATTGTTCCTTCTATTCTTAAAATGATGCCTAAAAACTTGTGTGGCAAGTAAGTTTCATCTAAGGGTCGATTCTAGCTGATTGGTAGCTACCTAGGGAACCATTGACAAGTTTTATGAAGCCTTTTTTGCTGCTGTTGTTCAATGGGAAAGAAAACCGTATTTGATTAGTGGGTTATTTGCCCTCATAGCAGTGATATACCAGCTGACCCTGGCTTAGTAAATCAAAATGATTCTTTTAAGAGGCATCCTTATTTAAGTTTATATGCCATTAGGCCGAGAGAAAAGAAATCATTACTGCTACAATCTGATTTCTCATTATTGATGGATATTTAGGTAGACATTAATGTACATATTTTTGTCCTTGAAACAAGTAACTGCTGGTATTTATAAGTATCAATTATGTTTCATTTCTCTTATAGCACTTAGTGCATGCATGCATATACTGCTAGGCACTATGCTTATGTTAACTTGTTATTTCCTTTATTTATTTAGTCTACCTTCCCAAGTAAATGATGAGTTTTCTAAAGTTTATCAATAGCATCTGTATCCTCTTCATAGTCCTAGCACCAAGAAATGCCTTGACGATTTCTGTAAGAATATATGTTACTTGTCTGTCATTAACTCTAAATTACTTGCTGTTTTGAGACATATTTGTATGCACTGGGATGTTTTGTTTAGCTATTTAGTTAAATAAGTACGTAACATTCCTAATATGATATGGAGCCATGCTGTGAAATGTGGATCGTAATGCTTTCATAGGACATCTGGATTTTTTAAAATAATGGCTTGGCTCTTACATTTAGATAGATAAAAGTTTAAATCCTACAGTAAGATGAATCTGCTCTTCTGGAAGATTTCTAGGAGTACAAAATGAACAGTCTCTTTCAAATTGATTCAATATTTTGTCTTCCCAATATTCAATAGATGATTATTATGACTAAATAATACTAAAACAAAATGAGCTATACTACTTTGTTTTTAAGAGTCTTCCATAGAACATAAAAACAGCCCAGAGTACTTTGTGTAGTTTTAAATAGTCATCATTATTCCTATAATCTTGACATTTTTGAGCTAAACAACTTTACTTTTCAAAACTTTTTTAATAGACACCAATTTTCACCATGTTAGTCACTGTCAATCTTCCTGGAATCCATGACAATTTTATCATATAAAGGAAAATCAACTTCCATAGCAAATGTGTTAAGATCTGTGATCTAGATTCTAGATGGACATCTAAAGAGATTGCTGTAATGAAGTGATTGCTTCTGACTGGTATTTTACAGTCTTTTAAATATATACCGCTTGTTTATTTTTCTCATAAAAGCCCGTGTTATTACTTCATTTAGTTTCTTGTCACCTGTGACAGTCCTTATCCCTTTACTGTGTTTGTTTTAGTTTAGATGAGGGGCTCACACTATGTGAAGGGCCAGATAGTAAATATTTTAGGCTTTGTGGGCTAAGAGGCTAAGTGCTAGTAATTTAAGTACTATATCATGTAAGTACTTAAATAACAAGAGGGAAAATTTCTACAAAATTTTTATTGACAAAATTCAAACTACGATATTAAAATTGAGTACAATTTATTTTTTTATGACACAGTCTACTAACGGGATTAATTTGGGTTCAAAGTATTCTCTCTCATCAAACTCATCTTCAAATGTTCATCTATTAGTGCTGATATCTGATGAGATTTTATATATTTCACCTTTGAACATGCCCTTTCAAACAGATAAATACAAATACTGAGATCAGTCCATGAGCAGCATCTTATTTTCTGGAATTCTCTTAGATTCTTCTCTTGATGTTTGCCTTTTATCATGTCATTACATTGCAGATTAATCACTTCCAATTGCAGGTTAAGTGGAAGCTCCTCAATTGCACAGCTGATGGAATGTGAAACATGAGTTTCCTTTGCCTTTGTATCCAGGTCTGAAAAATGCTGCTGGAATTGAGAAGACCAGTTGTTTCAGTTTTCTGGGACTGAGACTGGTTTTCCAGGATTTGGAACTTAAAGTGCTAAAACTAAGACAGTTTTTTACCTAGCTGAAACTTAGTTCGAGATCAGAAAATAAATCTACTTCAAAATTGTATGGAATTATATATCTCATTTGTTTTTAACTCTTGACAAAAAAATGACATTACTTTTGATTCAAACAACATTAATTTACATCGAAATGGCTTTATTTCAGTCAAATTTCACATATAACTCTTTTGCTTTGTAATTTTAGGTTGAATTCATTAAGAAACATTATCAAGTTTGCAGCAAAAGCTAACTTACAAAGCCATTCATTTGGATAATAGTGGTCAAGATGGTCTTATTCAGAAAGATTTCAGTCTCAACACAGAGCTAAAAAAGTCATAATAAAATTTTACCACTGCTGTTTTTGACTTGCATGGGAGGGCTAGTCAGTATATTCAGCTTCTGTTTTTGACAAAAATTCGTGAAACTGAGGATGGGTAAGCCGACAAGAGTCAATGAAGTTTACCTTTGACACATGATAGATTCAGTAACACATGATAGATTCATATCTTTTTTGTAAGGTACTTGCTGACTGAATAATAAATACAATGAAAAACCAGAAGATTTAAACACCTTATATTTTTACAAGCTTTGTAAATTTGTCTTTTTCTTCTCCAATATATTATCATCATCAGTTGTAACACATCCTAGCAGATTTCACTTGAGGTTTACTGAGTTAGTGTTTTCTTAATTTCTTTGAATATGTACTTTCTTGAAGCTGTTTCATACACACTATTCATAGTTACTCCAAACGTGGCATTGACTCCTCAAATTAAAAAACAGTAATATCCATCACATCTGTCAACCAAAGAAAACCACTTGAAATCATTTTCCTTTTTTTTTGCCTTGCTTTTAAATCAGCTATTAATATCACTCCAAATGTCCTCATTTTTTGAGCACTACATGCCAAATGGCCAATAGTCTCACACAGGTTTATTTTCTCTGCACACGTTTCTTTAGCTGCTACAATCAAACTAGATTTAATTAACTCACCATCAGTAAATGGCTCTCCTTACTTCACTAACAAATGAGCCACTTAGAAACTTGAGTCATAGCTTCATGTTCATTTATTATTTTGGGGGAGAAATTCTCCTATGATGAAATATTCTGTTTAAAATTTTCTAATTTTTCTGACCATTGTTTGCCTGTGGGTAGGGGATATTGTGATGAATTCTTTGTCTGGAAATATTGATGTATATTGGATTATTTTGAGTATAGATATAGTGTCATTGTATAATAAACACAATGATTTGCCATATAATTTGATTTAAAAAAAAATCCACAGTGCCTATTATTTTCTTCTAGGAATTCTGTAGTTTCAGGTCTTACATTCAGATCTTTAATCCATGTTGAGTTTTTGTGTATGGTGTAAGGTAGTAGTCCAGTTTCATTCCTGCATTTGGCTGTTTAATTTTTCCAACACCATTTATTGAAGAGACTGTCTTTCTCTATTGTATATTCTTGCCTCCTTTGTTGTAAATTAAATGACCATGTATGCTTGGGTTTATTTCTGGGCTCTCTATTCTGTTCCATTGATCTTTGTGTCTGTTTTTATGCCAATGTCATCTGTTTAGATTATCAGAGCTTTGTAATATACTTTGAAATCAGGGAGTGTGATGCCTCCAACTTTGTTTTTCTTTCTCAAGATTGCTTTGGTTATTTCTATACAAATTTTAGGATTGTTTGTTCTTTTTGTGTGAAAAATGCCATTAGAATTTTCATAGGGTTTGCATTGCATCTGTAGGTTGCTCTGAGTGGTACAGACATTTTTAACAATATTAATTCTTTGAATCCATGAGCATGGTTTATTCTAGGTATTTTATTCTTTTTGATGCAGTTGTAAATAGGACTTTTAATTAATTTCTCTTTGAATGTTTGATATTAGTGTATAGAAATGTGACAGATATTTGTATATTGATTTTATGTCCTGCAACTTTACTGAATTGGTTTATTAGTTCTAATAGTTTTTTTTTATGGAGTCTTTAGGATTGTCTATGTATGTCATCTGCAAACAGTAACAGTTCTACTTCCTTTCTTTATTTTAAATTAAGTTTATTGGTTAATACACCAATGTTGTATTAACCAATAAACTTAATTGGGGTAACATTGGTTAATACAACTATATAATTTTCAGGTATACATTATAATTTGACATCTATATATTCTATTCTGTGTTTACCACCTAAAGTCCAGTTTCCTTCAGCTACCATATATTTGATCCCCTTTACCCACTTCAACCTCTCCCTACTCCTCTATATTGAACCCCTTTACTCCACCTACAACCCTCATCCTCCCCCACCCCCTACCCTCTGGCAACCACTAGTCTATAGTCCATGTCCATGAGTCTCTGTTTGTCCTATTCATTTGTTGCTTTTAGGTTTATATCCCACACGTAAGTGATATCATATTATTTTCAACTATTTCTGTCTGGCTTATTTCGCTTAGCGTGATTATCTTGAGGTCCATCCATGTTGTCACAAATGGCAGTGTTTCATCTCTTCTTATGGCTGAATAATATGCCATTGTATATATGTACCACAGCTTCTTTATCCAATCATCTATTGTAGGACACTTCAGTTGCTTCCATGTCCTGGCCACTGTGGATAATGCTGCGATGAACATTGGTGTCCAAATATCATTTTGGATATGGGTTTTCAAGACTTCGAAGTAAATACCCAGTAGAGAGATTGCTGGATCATATGGTAGTTCAATTCATAGTTTTTTGAGGAACCTCCATACT